GGGGGGAGAGAAACAACCTAAAATAAAATAAAAAGTAAATAAAAAATATAAAATGAAAAGGAAGTCCAGGGGAAGCAGCTGTGGTAAGTACATCAGGGGAGGGAATCTCTTCACATAACAGGTGTGGGTGACACTGTATCACAGGCCTCCACAAGAGCTGTGTCTGTGTGCAAAGGCACGTGCGTGCACACATATGCAACCAGAAGGTTAGGAGTGACAGGGAAACTGAGCACAGCAGCAGCCAAGGGAACAGGTGCCAGATAACGCCCCCTCAGTAGGTAGAGTCAGAGCTGGATTTAGAGTCTTTAGTGTTAGGGGCTGTTGTCTTCTGGGTGGTCCCAAGGCCAAGTACTAAGAGCTTGGGTAGTGGAGATGAATCAGGACAAGCAGTGCGGCCCTGGCAGTCTGACCCAGGGGCCAGGCAGAAATGGAGACATTCAGTACCCTAGGACGAGGCTGCAGAGTGCGGAGCCCAACATGGTAACTTCCGCCTCAAGTGGGCAGCAAGACCCTGAAAGGGCACAGCTGAGCACAGGCCTGAGGGACGAGGAAGGAGTTCAAGAGAGGGAAAGGGAAGGGTGTTTTGGCCAGAGGGCAGAGCATTCCCGAGGCCTCAGAGCTGAGACAGTGCATGGCTCAGCATCCCTGAAGTAGATCTTCCATGGACTACCAAAAGAACTGATCAGACACAAAGTCGTATCTATTTCTAGATGTCTGTATGCTTTGTCCTCCAATAGAAAGACAGCAGGAGGGAAGGAAGTTTGCTTTATTCTCCGAGCTCTGGAGAGAAGCCAGGGGAGGCTGAGTAGATGGCTTTGAGTCTGCTAAGGCTGTGTTTTATCCTGCAGTCAGTGGGTGTTGGTGGTTCAGCATAGAACAGGACCAGGTGTGAGCACCGCACTCAGTGGGCTGAGGTCGCTGCTGTGAGGCCCAGAACAAACCACACTACATGGTGTGAGTTTCAGGTCAGCCTGGGTCACAGACCTCGTCTTAGCAAACAAAAGGTGAATGAAGGAGAGAAAAATGCAAAAAGCAGGGTGGGGGGAGGGGACAAGATACACTGGACGGGTGGACTGACCCTGGTGAAGTGAGAGGGGCCTGGCAGAGAAGAAAGGGAAGGCCTTGGGGACGAGGAACCTGGTGATCCCCTCACTTGCAAGCTTTTATCGTGAGACACCGTTGCCATTTAGTCAGAGCATCTGCTTTTTCGTGGGACTTGGAGGAGTCTTGCTCCTTGTCTACAATTGATCCTGCTCTTGCCCTTCTCCAGAAAATAAAGTTTAAAAACGCAGTATGTCTGAAGCAGGCAGTTCTCCCTTTGCAGAAGTGGACCCAGCCTGCCTCCTCCGACTTCCAGCATCTGACGAGCATCCTTCCTGAGCCAGCGGTGGCGAGAATTCGCTACTTCCAATTCTGGAGAGAAAGCCGGGATGGTGGCGATTACCTAAGGTACGTGGTCGAAAAAGGCAAGGAGAGTACAATGAGGCAGGAATAGAGAGTTTGGATCTCTGCGGCCGCCGTAGTGGAAGCACTGTGGTCCCCTTGGCAACGGCAAGAAGCAGCGCCAAGCTCCTGGGCGGTGCTGGCGCCTTGGCGGTTCGGACCCAAGGCAGCGTGCAATCTGTAAACGGCCCGCGGGACTTAGGGACTGCTGAGGGCGTGGCTCAGGCAAAGAGAAGGTGCTGGATCCCGAGACCCCCGCCTGTTCAGCCGCCATCCGTGGGCCTCAGGTTTCCCACTCAGGAAGAGAGGGAAGACTGGGCACTCCGGCCTAAGGGTACTCGGCTTTGAGCCCAGAATCTTCTCTTCTCTGCAGCTCCTGGACGGACTAGTGTTGACCTGCCCCATGGACGTGAGTCCAGTGCTATGTGCTCTCCTGCCTTTGAGCTTGGACTGGGGAGGGGGCTTTCTTTCTATCCCTTTTAGCTCTGGACCAGAGCTGTGAGACAGTGCCCAGGGAGCACTTCCCGGGAGGTGGCACGTTTTAGGGATCCCTAGCAAGATAGTGTGCTAGCAATCAAAGAGATAATAAGCAATACAAGCAGAGGCCTAGGGGCCAGAGAGAGGATGGAGCCTGATTGCAGGGTATGGGGTGGGGGACAGAGTAGCTAGGACTAGGGTGGGGAAGCTTTGTCCCTGAAACAAGCAGTTGTTGGGAGTCGCTGGTGGAGATGCCAGGGCAGTCTGATGTGAAAAGAAATGAGTTAGAAGAAGCGGGGCGCACGGCTTTAATCCCAGCACTTGGGAGGCAGAGACAGGCGGATCTTTGTGAGTTCGAGACCATCCTGGTCTACAGAGCTAGTAGTTCCAGATCAGGCTCCAAAACTACAGAGGAAACCCTGTCTCGGAAAAAAAAAATAAAAAGAAAGAAATGAGTTAGAAGAGGGTCGAGGGCAGAGAAAGATGACCTGTCAGATCAGAGCTAGATACAAAAATCTGTGCAGAGAAGTGTTCTACAAAGGAGAGCAGTGTTTCGCAGATATCTCTAAACCGACAGCAGGTACTTGGTAGTAAGATGAGAATGGCTGAGATGGCCGAGGGACAGGGCGGAGGTGAGTCAGTGCCCTGTGGACCTCTCACCTAGCTCTGTGCCCCTCCTGGCATCCTGTACAGCTCTTGCCCCACCTCACGCCCCTCCTCCTCTGTGCTTATCCAGACCTCCTCTGGCCCATGGAATCCAGCCCCAGCGTCCATCAGCAGCCCTCCCTTGCTGCTCCCCATCCCGGCTATCGTCTTCATCGCTGTGGGCGTGTATTTGCTGCTGCTGGGCTTGGTGCTGCTGACCAGGCACTGCCTGCTGGTGAGGAGCCTGGAGGGGCAGGACGGGACCAGGAACCTGGTGATTAGTGTGTCCCCTCACCTGCCATTTAGTCAGCGCATCTGTCCTTTTCGTGGGACCAGGAGAGCCTTCTTATCTCCAGTTAGTCCTTCCCTTGTAGAGAGGAGGGCTACCTGTCCCTGCTGTCTGGTCCAGATCCTGAGTCTTGTCATCTCCCAGGCTCAGGGCTGCTGCACAGACTGCAGCTCCCCGTGCAGGAAGCAGACTGCCTCAGAGACCCAGGACTGTTGCTGGAGCTGCGCAGAAGCCTGCGACTTCCCTCTGCCCAGTCCAGCCCACTACCTGGATGCCTGCTGCCCTCATCCCAGCGAAGCTGTGAGTTCCGTTCTTAATGCGTTCTTAACCCTCTGGTCTGGGCATGGTCCGGGCCTTCATTTCTTTGTCCAGCACATTTATTACTGAGCCCCAACCCTAGGCCAGGTACTGAGTCATAGACAGACAGCTAAAGGCAACATGGCCGCATATCAGATTGTGTCTGGAGATGAATGGTACTTGAAAGAAAAGAAAATAGGATGGCAGCTGGAGAAAGATAATTTGTGTGATTTATGTGACATGCCCAGTGCATGATCAAGACTTTTTTTTTTTTGAGATAAGGTTTCTGTGTTATATAGTGCTGGCTATCCTGGAACTCACTGTGTAGACCAGGCTGGCCTTGAACTCACAGAGCTCACCTGCCTCTGCTTCCCAAGTGCTGGGAATAAAGGTGTGAACCACCATACCCATAATCAGGACTTCTGAACAAAGTAGTCAAAAGAAAACAGGGTTGTAAGTGAAGTGCTTGTCTGGTGTGGCCTGGGACCTCGCACTGACCTCAACAAGACGCCTTCTCTTCATTGGGAGATATATTCCAGAGAGCTCACTGCTGGAGGCTGTGTACTGTTTCCACCAGCAACTCTGAGAGATGAGGATTTATTTACATTTGCAGCAGGGTCTTGCAGACAAGGCTAGCCTTAAACTCCTGGTCCTCTTGCTTCTGTCTCCTGAGTGCCGAGCCTACAGGTGTGCGCCACAACATCCTGGCTTAACTGTAATTTTTTTCACTTCTGTTTACTTCCTTGTGGTTAGTTTAAAGACAGAGAGGAGTCTGTGTCCAGTGGCCTTGGCGAGAAAGTTGCTTTGACTTTGGCATGAACCCTGCCACTGTTTCCGTGGGTCTGAGTTCCCTTTCCCCAGACCACTCTGGCTTTTCAGTGTGCTTCTAGGAGGCAGTGCTGTTCTTCCTTTATGCACATTAGCGCGTCTCTTCCCAAGTAAAATTAAATTTCATCTCAGCCGTAACCAGCTCTAGACTTCAGAGCCAGGGGCCCCCTTTGGTTCCAGAGACCTCGCTACTAGCCAGCTGAAATGGCACGGGACCATGGCCTTCCAGACATATTTGCCTTTTAGAAGTTCTGTTCCCAGCAGGACTTCATAGGTGCTAAGATGGTGGAAGGCTTAATTTTATTTCTAAAATTAAATCATATTAATTATCAAGCAGGCTGGGTTTTTGCTGGTTTAGTTGTTTTGTTTGGCTTTGCTTTTTTGAGACAGGGTCTCACTAAGTAAACCAGGCTGGCCTCAAGCTCACAGAGATCCTCCTGCCTCTGCCTCCCCAGTGCTGGGATTATAGGTGGGTTTTGTAATAAAAATCTATTTTTATTACTAAAGGTATTGTCTACGAAATACTCAGGTAGAAAGGCAAAGTGGTAAAGCACTCGGCTAGCATCACAGGAAACAAGGGAGGGTGCAGGATAGGAGGAGCGGTCATTTTCCAGGTGCTCTGTGAAGTTGCCTTCCTTGTGTGTGTGCGCTACCCTCATGCCTCACCGTGACTACCGTGCATTCCTCCCTCCCTGCAAAGATGGAGCCCCGCCACACAGTCTGCTTCCTTATGACCATTTCAACTGCACATCACACTTGGCCATGTGTCCTTGCTGAACCTGGAGCTATAGATGTATTCTTCTGCTCTCCTTGCGGAGGAATAAGAGGGCTTGGGGATGCTTGTGGCTTTCCCAGTGTTACACAGAAAAGCCTTGGCTCGCAAATGGCTCCACAGTTTAAGCTGCAGTAGAATCCTCGAGGGAGAAGCTGACCTACAGAAGACAACAGTTTTTATGTTTGTGGGTTTAAAAATGTTCAGTGTGATCAACTACCTTCTTGGACAGGGACTATTTTGGGCTCAGAGATTAAGACAACAGAGTTCCTGTCCTTGGAGTGATGACCTTCCTTAGCAGGGGGTAACAGACTGAGCTGCAGCAAATTCATAACTTGGATTGACTGTGCTTGGTGCAAATCCCTGGCAGATGTTTTGACTTTCAAAATAAATGATGAGGGCTGGCGATACAGCTGAGCTGGGACCCTAGTTCCCAGCTTTGCCTAGTGTGCAGGAGGCACTGGATTGATTCCCGGCAGCACGTAAACTAGGTGTGGATGCCTTCCGGTTCACAGGCAACAGGCCTGCACGTGTGCACAAACACACACAAGGTCAGAATGCTCGTAATAACAATCAGAAGTTCAAGATAAAGCTACATAGGAAATTCAAGGCCAGTATGGGCAAGCTACCCTATCTCAAAAATAAATTTGAGTGGTGGAGAGATGGCCCAGCAGATAGGAGCACTGGCTGCTCTTCCAAAGGACCTGGGTTTGATTCCCAGCAACCACATCAGACTCAGAACTCTTTCTGAGTCTATTTGAAAGAAGATAGCCACTGGCTGGGCGGTGGTGGCGCATGCCTTTAATCCCAGCACTCGGGAGGCAGAGGCAGGCGGATCTCTGTGAGTTCAAGGCCAGCCTGGTCCACAAGAGCTAGTTCCAGGACAGGCTCCAAAGATACAGAGAAACCCTGTCTTGAAAAACTTAAAAAAAAAAAAAAAAAGATAGCTGTTCACCCTCACTATGAAGCCACTGCTAGAACTTGCTGTGCAGAGGCCCAAGGGATCCAGAACACCTATCTCAAGGAGTTACAGGATGATTCGTGGTCCTGACACTGTCTCCTTCCCTATCTGTCCACATGGGGTGACAAGTCAGGGATGCAGCTTCTCAGGAAAAGTGATGAGCTGAGTGCTGAGGTTGACTGTGAGAAGACCCACCTGTTGGTGCAGGGCTTCAAAATCTCGTGGACCTGTGAGAAGACAGGGTCTCCCACCTGTTGGTGCATGGGCTTCAGAACCTTGTGCACACGAGAAACTGGTCCTGTCCAGTTCCTGCTGGATCCAGAAAGAGATATAGAGTGACCAAGGGGAGGCCAAGCTCGCCCCGTCCTTGATCTGTCTTCCCTCCAAGGATATTAAAGTACCTCTGTTCTCCGGGTTCCTTAAGTAACAATGCCAGCCAAAAAGGTTACAGAGCCTGTCTGTTTGGCCAGTGTAGACACTGAGGCTCACAGAAGATTGGGTGACTCCTTTGCCTGGGGTCAGATGCTCCAGCCAGACCACAAACCCGAGGTTTTCTTCCTCTCTGTAGGAGAGCCCTGCTCTCTGAATGATGGAGCCTTCATTTCTTCCCTCCCTCATGTGTACAGTACACACGAAGCCACCGTGTGAGGCTTTGTGCTGACCCTGGGGGCTCAGCACAAATAAACCAGACCATCTCCCTGTGCTCCCAGGGCTTACAATGTGGTGAAGGGCAGAGAGAAATGAGCAGACAGTTCTAGGCACAGAAGGGGGTGACCAAAAACAAGAGGGACCTCGCACATCAGGCCTCCAGGCCTCTCGCTCACTTGTAGGTAGATCTGGGGCAGGATTCTAGTCTGTACTTTTTCACAAGCTCCTGTAACTCGGATGTATGTTAGAATTAAGAACTACCGCTAAAGCGGGGCATAGTAGCACACACCTTTGATTCCAGCACTCGGGAGGGAGAAGCAGATGGATCTCTGTGAGTTCGAGGACAGCCTGGGCTACAGAGCGAGTGGGGAAACCAGACGACAGGTGTGGCTCCCTTCACCAAGTGCTCACTAAGGATCTCATTTCGGTCCACTGGCACTCTGAAAAGTCAGTGCGATATCTGTCTGAGAGACGAGGAAACTGAGGCTCAGAACATAATTTAGCCAGGCAGAATTCACACCTAGGTCTTACTATTCTAGCGCGTGAGCACCAACTAGCCAGTAAAATGTCCTGCCCTCCCGAAGTCCAAAAGGTAAACCCCACCCAAGAACACAGGGGTTAACAGGCTGCAAAGTCATTAATGTACTTAAAACAGCAGAGGTCTTCCAGGGCCCATTGCTCGTGAGAGTCAAGAAATCCATTAGCCAGTTATTAATGGCTGGACTAAACCCTTCTGTGAACAGAGCCAGAAGACGCTTTTAATACCCTCTTTCCTGAGGTAAGGGCAGTGAAGTGTTCTTTCTGGCCAGTGGCTCTGTACACAGAGTGGTGGTGTGATCCTCTAGAAACCCACAGACCCCACTTCATCCCCAGAGATGCCCAAACCATGCTCTACACAAAGAAGCCACTTCTCTTTCCCCTCCACTGACAGCCTTCGCCCCTGTTGACAGTAACAGGCCAGTTTAGACCCCTTCCCCTGGGCTGGCTGGGCTCCCCCCCTTGCTGGAGCCTCTCCTGACAGCCGATCTCTCTGGTCATCTGACACAGTACCCCGAAATCTCAGCTGTTGGAAAGGTCATTTCCCTATTCCTGGCTTGGCCCGGTTTCTGATGCAACTGTGGCTGTCACTAGCTTTGCTCGTGGCCTCAAGGAGCCAGCCTTCTGTCACACAGCCACTGGGGTGTGTCCACGCCAGTACCTTGGCCTGCCTCCCATCCATGCCTGGGGCAGTTGCAGATCATCCCAGTCCCAGGCCAGAGGAGCGAGGGTTGGCGTGTTGAATGTCCCTTCCTATCTCTCAGGACATTATGTCCACGAGACAGTCATCTCTCCTGGAGTTGAGAGGCCCTCTTCTGCCTTTCCCTAAAGAAGGCAAAGTGATATGCTTAGCTTAGTTTATACATTCAGCATCTATCTGTGGCTCAAACACCTGTTGAGCGTGTCTTCACCCTAAGTAGAGAACATGAGACCAACTATCCTTGCCTTTGAAGCCTTAGAATGAAGCCAACATTCCTGGCCTTGGGAAAATAGGCACAGGGAATCCCAGGCCCAGGGAAACCAACTCCAGTTCAAGCCAGTTTCTCTCTTTGGTTGTGTTCTTTTGGGCAAATCACTACGCATTTCCATTTTGTTTTGTAAAAAGCTCCCTTCCCCATTCAAAGTGGTTCATAAGTAGAGCATTTGCCTAATGTTCATAGGTCCTAGATTATACGCACTGAGGGGAAAAAAAGCCTTTTTTCTTTAGATTTATTTTATTGATGAGTGGTTTGCCTGAGGAAAACCCTACACCGTGTGTGCCTAAGGACATCAAAAGGTGTCACAGCCCCTGGAATTTGGGATCTGGAGTTACAATGACTCCGAGCCACTATGTAGGTGTTGGGAACTGAACTCAGGTCCTCTGGAAGAGCGAAGATTGCTCTTAACTGCTGAGCCATTGCTTCAGCCCCTCTTTTTATTTTTGTTTGTTTGTCTTGTTTGTCGTTTAGAGACAATTCGTGTAGCTCAGGCTGACTTGAACTTCTCCTGCCTTCTCCTCCAAGTGCTGGGATTGCAGGCTCAAGTCATGATACCTGGCTTAAAAAGTCAGGTTTATTTATTTATTTGTTTCTTGAGACAGGAGCTCTCTGTGTCTCTGGTTCTCAGTCTGTGGGTTACAACCCCTTCATGATCACACAGTCCTTTCCCAGAGGTTGCCTAAGACCACCGGAAAACATGAACATTTCTGGCTGGCCTCGAAATCACAAAGATTTGCCTGCCTCTGCCTCCCGAGTGCTGGGATTAAAGGCGTATGCCACCACCGCGCAAATTAGTAATGGAGTAGCAACAAAAATAACTGTATGGCTGAGGGTCACCACAACAGGAGGTGTATTAAAGGATCGCAGCGTTGGGCAGGTTGAGAGCCACTGCTGTTATGTAGCCCTGGCTGCCCTGGAACTCAGGATGTAGATCAGGCTGGCCCCAAACTTACAGAGATCCACGTGGAAGTAAGTGAGTTCCATTATGGCAGGCCACACAGTGAAATTCTGTTGGCCTCAAAACAAAGGCCAACAGAAGCCCCAAGTACTTGGTAGGTGGAAGCAGGAGGATTGTCAGGATTTTGAGGCCAACCTAGGTCTCATAGTTCCAGATTAGCGTGAGCTATGCACTGAGAACCTGTCTCACGAAGGAAGGAAGAAGGGAAGACATCTTGCAGTTTGGTTTGATGCCAGCAAAGAAGTCCAAATCCCAGAAGTTACCTTCATGAGGATCGAAATGTGCTCTCCGTGTCCTGGCTTCCTCTGGGTTGCACAGGGCTCAGAGCAGAGCAGAGCTGACTCCCCCAAATTCTAGTCATATTTAAAGCCCGTTCTTCACTGGTCTGCTCTCCTCACCCACGGAGCCCCTGCACACTGGAGCTTGGAGGCTACTGGAGTAGGCTAGTGTACTACCGTGTGTCACTATGGAGTAGGCTAGTGTACTACCGTGTCACTATGGAGTAGGCTAGTGTACTACCGTGTGTCACTATGGAGTAGGCTAGTGTACTACCGTGTGTCACTGCTGAATTCTCAGCGTGGAGAATTGCTTTGTTTCCAGAGAAGGTGGATGGAACCCTCTGTTCCCCTGGGCAGGGAGACCTCCCTTCTCCAATTGGAGGAAAGCAGACCCAAGTCCTGGTGCTGCTTCATCCACCTTCTCTTCTCCCTCAGGGTTGGGCTCCTCGATGTCCTCAATGCTGCCCCTTGTGTGACTGTGCCTGCGCCTGCCAGCTTCCGGACTGCCAGAGCCTCAACTGCCTCTGTTTCGAGATCAAGCTCAGATGAAGGATGGGAGTGGGGGGCTTGTTCTTTGGGGAGTGGCCAGCCCCTAGGGCCCCCTCTAAAATGGCCCTCGGGACACCACTGTTAGGCCACTGGAATCACAGCTGGCAGGTCCAGCCTAACCTGGGAGCCTTGAGTGGAGGGCCTGGTTCCCTGCAGGACAGAATTCTGAGAGCCCTTGGACAGCTGAATTCAGTTCCTTCGGAGGGTTGGAAGGAAAAGGGGCCCGAAAGGGGCTGATGTTCGGCCCAGTGCCCCTACCCCTCACCCCCTCCCTCCCTGGTAAATTATATATATAAGTGAAGGTGAGGATGCAGGACGTTGCTCACCTAGTCAACTGTATGAGAGGGCTCTGCCAACCTGGAATATCAAGATATAGGGACAGCCAGTCGCAGCCTGCCTATAGACTCCCAGTTATTTTAAGAGGTGAGTATCCTGCCTGTATTAAAGAGGAGGGGACCAAAGGAGTCAGTGGGAGGCAACAATCAGACACCCCAGCAACCTTCCGACTTGCTTTGCCTTATAGATCCCAGGCCGGAGACTCTTCGCCGCTCTATTTTCAAGGAAGAGGTTCTTCTAAAGACCGGTGAGTGGGCAGGGGCACCTCCTCCCCTCCAGGCAAACCAAAGCTTCCATTTTCTTCCCCGACTCAGGGGCCCCACGCTGGCATGAATGTCAGGAGCCTCAGGTTTCCCTAAATATAGGTCCCTGCCGCGGGATTCGTGGTGGGGAAAGGGCAGGGGTTACCGGGCAGGGACACTGGTGCGGGTGTCTGCAGGGGAGGGGTGGAGGAGAGGCGCTGCCTTATAACCCAGCCCAGGGCCTCCGGGCTCACTCGCTGCTGACCAGGCTCTGCCGGCTTCTTTCACAGCGCCACAGGTGGGCCGCTCGCCAGATCCCAGGGTAGGGATGGGGGCTGCAGATTGGGGTCAGAGGGAACTGGATGCTTTGAGAGTAAGTGGGTGGCAGAGAGCTCGGAGACGGATTTTTATTTTGGAGAAGAAAATCAGGTTCGGGGAAGACGAGTCTGGCTTGAGCCAGCCCTTGTCGATCATTTCCTCAAAGATGGTGTTTTAGCTGTAGCGGGAGGTGACTCCCGCCAATCTGCTAGCTTAGCCCGGACCAGGCTAGGCCACTCTTTCGCGATGTGGCTGGCGCGCCGGTCCGAGGAGGCTTTGCCTGCGTACCCCGCTAGCTAAGTCGCCCTCTCTCACTCCTTGTGGGTGCTCCGGCCGGGGAGGGGCCGGTTGCGCCCCGTAGCTGTACCAGGCGGGCAGGCGCGGAACCTCTGGGTTCTTCGCAGTAATGTCAGGCTGCCACTGCGCAGGCCGGAAGCCAGGGGTCTAGAAGGGGAGGCCAGCCACCATCTCCCTCTGACACTCCCACCCCCTCGCCAGCCCACATTCCGGCTGAGTCACGACGCTCGCGCGCGCGCCGGGCTGGAGCTGGGGGAGGGAGGGCCCTGGTGACCCGAGGGATGTGGCTCGAGTCACGTCCTAGCGGAGCGGAGGAGGGATCGGGTTCTGACCGCTCGTCTCCGCCCCAGCGCCGCCTCCTATCGTTGCATCTTGAGGCGGTGCCTTGCACAGTGCCTGCCTGCAATTGGACACTTAGTGTCCCAGCAAGGAAAAATACCCGCAGAGGGCGGAGCGGCGCCTTTAAATGTCCGAGGCCCCGCCTCCCGTCGTCACCTCCTTCCCCCTCAGCTCAATAGGCTGCGTTCTTTTGGAACGCACGCAGATCGGGGTTCTGGTGACTCTCTCCGCGTTCGGTCCTCTGTCCTTTCGCTCACCCACCGCCGTAGCCGGCAGACCCACCCCCTCCTGTGCCAGGTGAGCGCCATTTGACACGTGCCCGGGGAAGGGACCTTGGGGTAGGATCCCGGGCCGGTGGCGGGGGCAAAGCAGCAGCGCGGAGCCTCCATCCCCACGGCCCCTCGCTTCTCCCTTCTCTACCCCCACGCTCGCCCCCAGCCCAGCTTCTGCCCTCCAGCCTGCGCCCTGGGAGCGCGCTGCGCCACGCAGCACCTCCGTGCGCTGAGTCATGGCGGGGGAGGAAGCAAGATGATGTGGAAAATTAGACCCCCTTTTTTTATTTTTGCAAGGACTCCCCCCACCTATGCAAACATTAGGGTCTCATTGCCAGTTCGAGGATCCCAAGAAGCGATGGGTGTGGGAAGGTCAGCTCGTAGACTGCGTCAGGGTTCCTCGATGGGGTGGGGGAGTTTGCTTCCTTTTGGGGGAGCCCCTGTGGAGGAGGGGAAACTCCTCTCTGCCTTGCTCCGTGGCCCATTAACACCTCGCTATCTTTTTCTTATCTTGTGACCTTGATTCTGAGCCTGGGACTGCTACCGATGCACACACGGGAGCACTTTTCAGGGAAGGGGTGGGGCACGTGTCTCACTTCTACCCTTTCCCCTTGGGCAGTGTGGAGGCAAAGCTTCCTTTCCACCTGAGCTCCATAGCCCTTTCTCTCTGTTTTTGATTACCCTGTATTTTTCCTAATATCCTTTTCCTAACACCCCCCCCCACCAGGAGGGAGAAGCCTGACCTTGGGGTGTCCTTGAAGCCTGGGCCAGACCTGGGTAGATCACAAGGGACGCCCCACCTCAGTCAGAAAATCTGGGTTCTATCTCCTCTCTTTGCTGTGTGACTTCAAACACAGATGATTTCTTTCTTGGGCTCTTTCAGATGATGGTATTGGGCTCTCTGCCCTATATGATCCTTATATTCTAAAATACTCCCGGTTCAATTTTGTTTCTAGGCAAGGTGACCCATGGCAACGCGCAAGCCAGATGGGTCCAGCTTCAACATGACCCGCCTGTCCCTGGCTCTGGCTTTTTCCTTTCCCCCAGTTGCCAGTGAGCAACCCCACTCTGAGCTGGGCAACACCCAGCAACAGACAGAGTTAGGAAAGGTACAGGAAGAGGCAGGTCTAGTATAGGGAAGTTGGGTGCACGGGAGAGCTCTGGGACAGGAAGTAGCCCAGGACCCTTAGGGAGTGGGGCAGGGGAGGTGGGGCTGCTTCCCTGCCCTCCAGGGAAGGAGTCCTCATTTACCGGGGGAGACTATAGGATGGCCCAACTAACCACTTGTCCCTGTCTGTCTCCTTCCCTCAGGAACGTGCTGTCACTGGCACCATGCCCTACCCATACCCAGCACTAACCCCGGAGCAGAAGAAGGAGCTGTCTGACATCGCTCACCGAATTGTGGCTCCGGGCAAGGGCATCCTGGCTGCAGATGAGTCCACTGGTGCGGTAGAGGCAGGAGAAACGGGGGGAAGGGGCGGGGGACCCGGGGCTGGAGATGGCAGGCTGATCCCCTTGTCCTTTCGCACGATCCTCCCTCCAGGAAGCATTGCTAAGCGGCTGCAGTCCATTGGCACTGAGAACACCGAAGAGAACAGGCGCTTCTACCGCCAGCTGCTGCTAACTGCTGATGACCGTGTGAACCCCTGCATTGGGGGGGTGATCCTCTTCCACGAAACACTCTACCAGAAGGCGGATGATGGACGTCCCTTCCCCCAAGTTATCAAGTCCAAGGGCGGTGTTGTGGGCATTAAGGTGAGGGCCCTGGAGGTGTAAGATTCGAGATGGATCTGGGGAAGCGGATTAATAGGGCAGGGATTGGGTGCTGAGTTAGCAGGGCCTAGGGATTTAGGTATGGTCTGCTCCAGACTTAGGGTGGAACCCAGGTCCTTTTGCATGCTAGGCAAGTGCTCTATCTCTGAACTCTACAGCCCCTATGGTTCTAAGGTGTTTCCTTATTTTACAGCTTGTTTAAATAAGATTTTCCTTATTTACAGCTGAAAAAGTCAAAGTGCAAAGCAGTGAAGCGGTTTGCTTAGTGAGAGGCTCCTCCAATTAATGTTCTCTCAGATAATACGTGTATCTTTCCTCGTGGGACTCAAAAAATATTTGTAGGCACTGAGAGGCTGCAGTGAGGGATGAAGCTGGTTGGGTAGAAGGAGGATGGTAGAGCTGAATTGCTGCCCTATATCCTGGCAGGTAGATAAAGGCGTGGTGCCCCTGGCAGGAACCAATGGTGAGACCACCACCCAAGGTGAGTGTGATCTGCCTCCTTCCCTTCCTCACCAGCTCACCAGGGGCCCGGAGTGGAATCGTGACTCTGCCTCTGCCTCTCTTCGTTTTGTTCCTCCTCTTCAGGGCTGGATGGGCTGTCAGAACGCTGTGCCCAGTATAAGAAGGATGGAGCTGACTTTGCCAAATGGCGCTGTGTGCTCAAGATTGGGGAGCATACTCCTTCAGCCCTTGCCATCATGGAAAATGCCAATGTTCTGGCCCGTTATGCCAGCATCTGCCAGCAGGTGGGACTGAAGGACTGGGCCACAGTAGACCACTTCCTACGCCATTCGGTTCCAGTGTGGGCTAGCTTTCTGTCCATCTGCCAGGACATCTCCCTCCCCCAGAGCAACTGTTCTCAATGCCAAACAAGTGGAGGCCACTCTGCGAAGCAGTGGTGGGAGGGAGCGGGGGGGGGGGGGGGGGGGGGGGGGGGGGGGGGGGGGGGGGGGGGGGGGGGGGAGTGTGGGAAAATCTGAGGCTGAGGCCTTTGAAGCCTTGATTCACTATCATCATCAAGATAACATCTTGGCTAAGGTGGAGATTAGTAGGTGGGGTTCCCAGTCAAGAGACCTCACTACCCTGTCCCCACAGAATGGCATTGTACCCATTGTGGAGCCTGAAATCCTTCCTGATGGAGACCATGACCTAAAGCGCTGCCAGTATGTAACTGAGAAGGTAGGTTAGGTTGCCTGTGTGTGGCCAGGGTAATGTGGCCTGGGTCCTTTCACCTCACACCCTGCCCTGTTCCAGGTACTGGCTGCTGTGTACAAGGCTCTGAGTGACCACCATGTCTATCTGGAAGGCACACTGCTGAAGCCCAACATGGTCACCCCAGGCCATGCTTGTACCCAGAAGTATTCCAATGAGGAGATTGCCATGGCAACTGTCACAGCCCTGCGTCGCACAGTGCCCCCTGCTGTCACTGGTGAGGCCCACTTCCCTCATCTTGGTTGGTGAAGTGGATAGCTATGCCATCACATTTGACTCCTTTCCAGGGTAGCTTCTGGCAGCTCCTCCCTGCCCTGCACCTCTAGTGAAAGCCCCCCCCTTTCCTTCTGCCCTTAATCTCCAGGAGTCACTTTCCTGTCTGGAGGGCAGAGCGAGGAAGAGGCGTCCATCAACCTCAATGCCATCAACAAGTGCCCACTGCTGAAGCCATGGGCCTTGACTTTCTCTTACGGCCGGGCCCTGCAGGCCTCTGCTCTGAAGGCCTGGGGCGGAAAGAAGGAGAACCTGAAGGCTGCCCAGGAGGAATACATCAAGCGAGCCCTGGTAAGGCAGCGTGAAGGTGGGAGCGCGTGCCTGGGCGTTCAGGGGGAGGGGGCACCCAGAAGAACTCTCACCTGGTTTCTCTTCCCTTTTAGGCCAACAGCCTTGCTTGTCAAGGAAAGTACACCCCAAGTGGTCAATCTGGAGCCGCAGCCAGCGAATCTCTCTTCATCTCTAACCATGCCTACTAAGCAGAGGTGATCCAAGGCTGCCCCATCAACACTCCAGGCCCCCGCCTACCCACTTGCTTTTGAAGAGGGGGCCTTCAGGCTTTCCCATCCATCACTCTTGCTGCCCTTGTGACTGGTGTGGTGTTGTCTGCGAATGCTAATTCTGCCATCCCTTCCAGCCCACTGCCAATAAACAACTATTTAAGGGCGAGTCTGTTGTCCATGTCTTGTAGGGTATAGGGGAAGCTAGGGAGGTAGCAAAGTTTAGGAAAGAGCCTTATTTTGGGTTCTTCCTGTGCCATTAAAAGGATGGAGTAGGGCTTTGTTGGTCTGTGTATGTTTGGGTGAGGGTTTTGAGAAAGACTACTGTGAAGTGTGGTAACCCCTTCTAATTGAAGGTAACTGATTTGCTCACCTTCCGAGTGCTGGGTTTATAAGCATAGGGCACAGTGCCCAGTCTAAGCCATGCTGGGATCCAATCCAGGGCTTCATCAATACTAGGCAAGGACTGTGCTATATCCCCAGCCCTCTCCTTCCTAACTAGGCTTTGTTATCTTGCCCAAGATAAAAGTTTATTGGTGGGATAAAGCAGCTGTTTCCCAACTGCGTGCAACATGAAATGGAATTGCCAACAGCTTTTTAGGTTTTTGAGAACGTGGATCTTTTTTGAAGAATCAATCCTCTCCCACACAGAGGATACACAATTCATAGGTCTACACCTGCAGAACTCAGGTTCCGCGTTTAGAATGGAGCTTCTTGAGCTGCTGGTGTTCCTTGATGGCTAGAACAAGAGCCCCACACCAAACCACGGGCCAGTCTTTGAATTCTTGCCACCCAATGTTGGGTATAGGATTTTTTTTTTTTAAAGTGTCTGTCTGAATGTGTGTGTGTGTGTACAATTAGTGCCTGATGCCCTTGGCCAGAAGAGGGTTTCAGATCCATTGAACCTGGAGTTATTCATGGTTGTGAGCCAGTATGTTGGTGCTGGGAATTGAATCTGGGTCTTGCAAGAGCAATAAGTATTCTGAAGTGCAGCCGCATCATAGCTCTAATAATGTAACATGGCTGATGATTCTAGGTATTAAATAGGGACTTGTTTCGTCTGAACTGTTGTGTCCTGTAGTCTCTCCAGCCTTCCTGCTCTGGATCCTTTCTGTGCTGATTTCCCTTCAAGACAGATTTTTGCACTTTTTCTGTTATAAGTTATGATCTGCATAGGACAGTTTAGTAGGGGTATCAAAACACGGTCTCTGCTGTCCTCATCTTTCTCTGTATGTTCTTTTTTTTTGTTTGTTTTGTTTTGTTTTGTTTTTCGAGACAGGGTTTCTCTGGTTTTGGAGCCTGTCCTGGAACTAGCTCTTGTAGACCAGGCTGGTCTCGAACTCACAGAGATCCACCTGCCTCTGCCTCCCGAGTGCTGGGATTAAAGGCGTGCGCCACCACCGCCCGGCTCTCTGTATGTTCTATAGCCAAAGCCAAGCTCAGGCTGGGAATACAGCTCTGGGTGAGCACTTGGTTGGCATTCATAAGTTCCATCACCAGCACTTCAAAGAAAAAATCTCTAGTGCTCCGAAATTTCGTTTCACATCTTTGCACACCACTTGTAACTCTAGGACAGTCTTTTGTCTTCCAAGATGGTTTCTTCGTAGCTTTGAAGCCTGTCCTACCTCTTGTAGACCACGCCCTTGATCTGCCTGCCTCTGCCTTCCAAGTGCTGGTACTAAAGGCCTGCGCCAACACCGCCCAGCTTTGATTGTGGTTTGTGTGTGTGTGTGTGTGTGTGTGTGTGTGTGGTTTTGTTTTGTTTTTTCTTGAGACAAGGTTTCTCTGTGTAGTCCTGGGTGTGCTGGAACTCTGTAGACAGAACACCTGCCTCTGCGGGGATCAAAGGTGTGTACCACCATCTCCTGGCTTTTGGGAAGCAAATCTTACGCCACATAATTGAGGGCCAGTAAAAAAAGTGAAAAAGATTTCAACTGAGCACTCGGGAGGCAGAGACAAGAAGTGAGTTCAAGGCCAGCCTGGTCTACAAAGCAAGTTCTGGAACACAGAAACCCTGCCTTGAAAAACAAAAACCGAAATTTCCAAAGGTGATGTGCAAAAGTGGAGACTTGGGAGATTAAAATCAGTAACCTGTCAGAAGACTAAGGAAGCAGAAGCTTCAGTGTGAATTTGGAGAGGGTTGGGTCTTAGCTTTTGTGTTGCTTTGAGTTTCAGAAAGTAAACGGGAGATGGGAATCAGACTTAAACCGCTTTTTCTGGGTTCACATTTGAACTTTGGTTCAAACACCAAATTTTTAGTTTTGCAACTGAGCATGTTAACCTGAGCCATCGTCACGTTGAAGGAAATATGTCCAGGCAAAAGAAAGTTATTTGGGTGTGGGCTGCATAACACCTGTAATTAGTACTTGGGAGGCCGAGACAAGATTTGCTGTGAGTTAGGATCAGCACAGATGGATATTTTGTAAATTTTGGGCCATTCTGAGGCACAGTGAGACAAGAAGAAACATGTTAGACTATTTTGGGATGCAGGGAGTCTTAAAAAGAAGCTCGGTGTGAGTGGAGTAGGCACTTTATTTTTTTTTTTCAGTTAGACTTAAGCTTGTGTGTGTTTTCTCTCTGATCACCCTGTGTGTCCTGAGGGTCCAGTTCAGATCAGTTAGGCTTGGTGACAAGTCGTATTTATCAAATATGTCTTCTTGGTGAGTTTTGTTTGTTTTTGAGTATTTACTATGTAGCTGTGACAGCCTCAAATCCACGATCCAGTCTCAACCTCCTGTATTCTGGGATTACAAATAGGTGTGCCACATACCTGGCCCAGGTTCTGAAATCCCGTGGCAAACGTTTAGGGCCGCGCCATGCAAGATCCGTGGCTAGGGTTGGCCCATTCATTGAACAACTATACATGTCTGCAATACTTGGCTTTATTCTAAACGGTGGAAAAGCAATGATGAACATGGCAGCTTCACCCTCGGACTTGTCGTAGAAGAAGGGCAGAAAGCAGGCAAGAGAAAAGTGTAACGTGAGATGACAAGTCTATCAGAACGTACGTCATTTGGGTACATAATTGAAATACGCTAATGCTTGCCTCCAAGACTCCGTCGCCCGCCCACTTCCGATTCCTTAGTTCCTCCTTCCGCATGCCGCGAGAGGGGCGTGATCGGATGTGTCACTTCCGGCGCGCGACAGACCTGGCCTCCCTTTGCTTCCGCGGCGGGGCCGGAAGTAGAGGCGACGGTGGCGGAGGCCCAAAGCGAAGGAAAGTGGGGAGTCGGAGAGACCCAGCCGGAGTCCTAGCGGCGGTAATTGTCCGAGACCCCTCTAGGCCACCGTCCTTAGCGCGGGCCCGCGGGGTTCGACGGGAGTTGGCGGGGTACGGCCAGGGCAGCGGGACGCCGAGGGTCCTGGGCCGCCGTGAGGGGAGGGGGGGCGGTCCCAGAATCGAGTCCCCCCCTCCCGCACGGGCCCTCTGATTGGCGGGCTCGCCTTCGCTTTTCCCAGGAGACCCCTGTGCGGTCCGGAGGGGGCGGCGGCCCCGACTCTGACCCGCGCCGGGGGGTGGGCCATGGCGGAAATCAGCGACCTGGATCGGCAGATCGAGCAACTGCGGCGCTGCGAGCTCATCAAAGAGAGCGAAGTCAAGGCCCTGTGCGCTAAGGCCAGGTGAGCCCGCGGGCCCGCAGGAGAGAGGCCAGCCGGTCGGCCAGGGGTTCCGGCTGGATGGACTAAGCTGAGAACTTTAGGGCTTGTCCCATCCCGGAAGCATTCCCGGAGAGGAGCGGTCCCGAGGGCCACTTCACCCCAGGAACCACGGATCGGATGTAGATGCGTTTCTAATGGAACAAGAGCGAGTGACAGAAAGTTTTTAGGAAACTCAGGGAAACCGGCCTGCCCTGTTGGGGCGAAAGAGAAAGTTTCTTGGAGAGACTGAGTTCTGAGACAGGCCTTGAATAAAGAGCTGGTTCAAGGCAACAAAAAAAAAAAAAACATTGTGGTTTGTAAAAAGTCTCTCAGTCCCATCAGTCCTTAAAGAGAAAGTGGTTTTGTGCTCCCTTTACCAAACACGGACTATGATTGTCCCACTTATCAGCAAGGAAGGAATGGAACTGCCTCTCCGAATACTGGTCCTTTTAGTTGTGATTCAAGAAGATGGAGTTGGGTCAGTCTCGTGTTCTGCTGGTACCCCAAGAAAAACATAGTAGCTAAACTAGAATAGGGCATAATGAATTCCAGACCAGTTTGGTTTACTGCGTGGGGCCCTGTTAAAAATAAATAAGAAAGTCACGGTCCTTGCACACCTCTACTCCCAAGCACGTGGGGGGGGGGTTTAAGGAGTTTAGGGTCATCTTCAGCTAGGTCGAGGCCACCACGTGAGACTGTGGCTAATAAAATAAAGGAAAAAAAAACCTTAAAAGGGTTAAGCGCTATACATATGGAGAGAGGCAGCTTTTCTAGGAAGTTTTGGATGCGGTGACAGTGAACTTGAGTCTGCTCTGCCACTTTATGCGGTGATGATTTTGAAGTCAGTAAAGCGGAACAGGTTGTGTTCAGTAAAATGGTTGTGAATATTCTTCTAGTGGATCTGGGCTCGAAGTAAACTTGGCGTGCTCTTTGGGTAGTGTAAGTCAGGATGTGGTGATACTCGTGGTGGGAAGGGGACCAATGGCGTATTTGTGGATTGATGCTATCGGGTTTCTAAGAGATGCCAGTCCTGGAAAGACTCCAGCTGTCAGAGCACAGTGAGAAGGAACCTTCAAGCAGGGTAGGGGTGAAAGGGAAAGACACAGGCGACAGTTGAGGCTGGTTACCTGCCTCTTCTGGGAACTGCTTCAGTGTGGCTTCTACCCTGTTTAATGGAACAGTAGCTTGGTCCTCACCCTTGCCCTCCAATCCTGTGTGGCAGGGAGTGGGGGGTGGAGATAGAGACTGTGTCTTCTGTGTTTCCTCCCACGTGGCTCTAGCTGGCCTTGAACGAGGCAGCATCTCTGTGCTGGGAATCCTGAGATCTGCCCAGTGTTGGCCATCCCATGACACTGACCCTAACACAGTTGTCTATACTGTCTTGACCTGCGTGTGAGCTTAGTGCTGTGCTTAAGCTCAGGTTTGGAGATGGGAGGGCTGCTGAGAGTGGACTGCAGGAACTGCCGAAGGGATTTTGAGAAGTAGTTCGCACTACAAGAACTAGAGCCAATTCCATATGCTGTAAATTCATGCTACGGTGGTGCAGTCCTTCAATCCTAGCACACAGGAGGCAGAGACAGGTAGATCTCTTGTCCTTGAGATGATCTTGGTCTACACATCAAGTTCCAGACTAGCCAGGGATACAAAATGAGACCCAGTCTCAAAAAAAAAAAAAATTGTGTTTTTTTTTGTTTTTGTTTTGTTTTGATTTTCCTTCTAATTGCCAACAGTGAAGGAGCAACACAACCCTTTGAAAAGGCATCTGGGGCACCCTGCCCTGGGCCTTACCCTTACTTTGGATAGCCTGAGAGGAGGGCTCTGATTGGTAGGGAGTGAGGTCAGCTCAGCCTAGGGACAGTCAGTGCTCTAAGGAAAAGGGACCTCCCTCCCAGGGGTGTGAGCTCTCCTCTTGAGAGGAAACCACTGGGAGAATCAAGGCTGGAAATGTCCCGGCCTGTTTGGAAGGACTTGAATGAGGGCTGGGGGCGGGGTGAGAACTTGGACTTTGTCCATTTGGCTGCAGGTATTGAGTGGTGGAAGGCCATGGTCAGTGCTTTCTGACCAAGTCATGGGGACTTCCTTCTGCCCCATGGAGGTTCAAGGACTACCTCATGTCCTCCCTCCCTCCCTCCAAAAAAGGTCAGGAATTGGGCTGGGCTGGCCTGACTGGTGACCCTGGTCTTCTCATGTCTCCAGAGAGATCTTGGTAGAAGAGAGCAACGTGCAGAGGGTGGACTCGCCAGTCACAGTGAGTACTCTGTCTCTTGGAGCCTGACTTGGTATTTTGAGGACATGGACATCCTAAGTGGTTTGATAACAGACCCCACCTCTAAATTTATGAGAGGCTAGAACATCCCTAGCCTCTTGCTTCTCAACTTTCAGGTGAGCCCTGATATAAGATTAGATGGTGGGCGAGTTTGCAGCTTAGTGATGGGGTGTTTTCCCAGTATGCATGAGGCCCTGAGTTCTAGCTTGCGCAGCACAAGAACATAAAGGGTGCTGCAAGAATTGCAATTTGTTGTGGGGTGCTCATAGCCAAGGCAGAAGTTTGTGAAACAGTAGCCCTGTGTTAGTAACTGTGCTGGACACAGGGGCAGACAGATGAAGCCAGTCTTCTTGACGCTGCTGCAGGTCTACCTGGAAAAACACATCTCCTGCACCAGGGCGTTTGGCTTTCACTGAGGGGCAATAGATGATACCAGAATAGGCTCATTTGGGACTAGAGGTGGAATTTGGGTCCTAAGATGGAGTGATAGAGCCCTGGCTGGCCTGGAGAGTAACAGCTGTTTTGAAAGATGATCCCTGGGAACAAAAAGACTGTGCCTTTGTCCACTCTGTCTACCTATTTTTCCTTCCCAGGTATGTGGTGACATCCATGGACAATTCTATGACCTCAAGGAGCTTTTCAGAGTGAGTGGGGGGACACTGGGGCTGTGAACTAGGGGGACTGGAGGACATGATCTCTGAGAGGCCTTAGGCTGCATGGTCTCTGGGTGAGACAAGGGGCTCAGCTAGACTCTGGCCACTGCTACCAGAAAGGACAGTTTGGGGCCAAGCAGAGCCATATCCCTCCTCCCAGGTAGGTGGCGATGTCCCTGAGACCAACTACCTCTTCATGGGAGACTTTGTGGACCGTGGTTTCTACAGTGTTGAAACCTTCCTCCTCCTGCTGGCTCTTAAGGTGAGGACACTTGACCCCTGGAACACGAGCCTTAGCCACTACTTGCTGCCCTCATCACCCTCCCTGTCACCTATCTTGGAGCTTTGCTGTGGCTGTGGACTGTGTGCTTAGCGGGGCTGGTCATGACTGCGGCCATGAGTGGGGCCGTCTCCTGAGCCTTGAGGAAGAGACTGGTGATGTGAGTTCTGGGAAGCAGGCAGAGGCCATGTGTTCGGGGAGCAGCAGGAGTTGAGTGAACTGGGAGAGTTCATTGGTGAGCGGCCACGGTGGGGTGGGGCGGGGCACTGAGGACTGGAGCCTGAGTCTGGCAGGTGAGAGGAATCTTGTAGTTCTCTGGAAAAGGCCCCTAGGAGCCTGTGAGGCAGGGACACCATGATTATGTAAGAGATAACAGGAGTCTAGGTTAGGCAGGTCATGGTGAAGACTGAGTGAGGCTGGTGGATACATCTTGGAGATCTTGGAGACTTGGGAGGGGCTAAGTGGGGAATGGAGACTAGAACCAGTCCTGGCTTGGTGCTGCTTCTAGGTTCGATATCCTGACCGCATCACTTTGATCCGGGGCAATCACGAGAGCCGCCAGATCACCCAGGTCTATGGCTTCTATGATGAGTGCTTGCGCAAATATGGCTCAGTGACTGTCTGGCGCTACTGCACTGAGATCTTTGACTACCTCAGCCTGTCCGCCATCATCGATGGCAAGGTAGGTTGGCCGGATCTCCTTGGGGGCGGGGCAATGGTGGGACTCTGGGCTTCCACCTCCATTCTCTGTGGTATTACACTCCCTTCTAGATCTTCTGTGTGCATGGGGGCCTCTCCCCTTCCATCCAGACCCTGGACCAGATCCGGACGATTGACCGGAAGCAAGAGGTGCCCCATGATGGACCCATGTGTGACCTCTTGTGGTCTGACCCTGAAGGTGAGGGCGGCACCTGAACTGGCTGTCCCATTAGCTGTGGAGACTGGATAAAGCAAGTGTATGACAAGAGGAGAGTCGGGGCAGGGAAGAGAAGGGCAAGTTTGGTCCATACTGGTTTCTGCCTTCCACTGCCTGACTGGACCCTCCATAAGAGCAGACAGCATGAGTGGTGGTGTACTGCGGCCTGTAGTGGTGGCCCTGAGTTTCATGGCTCACAGGGTGGAAAGAGGCCGTAGACCTTAACAGTAGCTTCTCTGGAGGGGAAACCAGTTCCCCTAGAACAGTGACCTCTGAGGGTTCCTTATTTTGTTTGGGGCAGAACTGAAATTTAAAGCTTGGCTTTCTGCATACCAATCCTAAGCATACCCTCCAATCCCATCATTGCTACTGCAGTCTGCCCTATGGGGCTAAAGTGACCTTACTGCCAGGAGTCCTTGTTGATGGCTGGTGCTCTGGCTGTGAGCGCCTCCTATCACTAAGTGCTGCTTGGACAGTCCACTGTATGGCCGCTGATGAGGAGGCCAGCCATGAGGCAGTCTTTCTCCTCAGAGCTATCCTGTCTCCAGGATTCCCTAGAAGAAGGCAAGGTTGATGAGGGAAGAGGCACAGGCTTTTAACTCTGGTATAGTAGTTAGCCAGAGAAGCCCACATGTTGTCCTTGTCTTGTCTCAGACACCACAGGCTGGGGAGTGAGCCCCCGTGGGGCAGGCTACCTGTTCGGCAGTGATGTGGTGGCCCAGTTCAATGCAGCCAATGACATTGACATGATCTGCCGTGCTCACCAGTTGGTGATGGAAGGTTACAAGTGGCACTTCAATGAGACCGTGCTTACTGTGTGGTCAGCACCTAATTACTGCTACCGGTAAGCTGGCAGGACCAGGAGCTAGGGTGAGGGTAGACATCTAGGCCACTGTTGCTAATGGTGCTGTTCCCAAATCCAGCTGTGGGAATGTGGCAGCCATCTTGGAACTGGATGAGCATCTCCAGAAAGATTTCATCATCTTTGAGGCTGCACCCCAAGAAACACGTGGCATCCCCTCCAAGAAGCCGGTGGCCGACTATTTCCTGTGACTCCTTGGCCCCAGCCCCTCTGGCCCTTGGACCACTGTGACTGCCCTCTTCCCAGGCGGAGGCTGGTGTGGAGGGGCTGCCTGGCTTGGCTGGCCCCAGGGTGCGGACTGCTCTGGAGAGGTTGGGGCTTCTGCTCCGGGCTTCTCTTCTTCTCCCACTTTGTCCATGAAGTTTTCCAGTCATTTTTCCTTTTTTTTTCTTTTTTTCTTTTTTGGTTTTGTTTTTAGATAAAACATTTTGAGAAAAAAAAAAAGAAAAAAATTCTAATAAAACAAGAAAACTAGTACTGGGATTCTGGGATTTCTGTCAGGTTTGACCAAGGTGGACATGGAAGCCTGTCCTGTTTGTCCCCTGGCGCAGAGCCTTTAGACTCCATCTGGTGATCTTTCCCAAAGGCTGGCTTAGTTCTGGGTGAAGGCCAGGTTCCAGGACAGCCTTAATTCTTAAACAGCCATTGTGAGGGAAGTTACCCATCTTCCTGAGCAGGCTACTTCACATCCACAAGGGCAAGCATCTGGAAACTGCTTAGGTCTCCCCTTAAAGCTGTGGCTCCCCCAGGCTCCCCCAGGGCCAACACCATTAGTTTCTGAGTCTTTGGAGTTTTATTAACAAAAAATACTCTGATCCTGAGAACAAACTGGTGTGACTTACACCAGTGATGAGGCCCCCAGGAGGTGGGGGTGTTGGGCTGGGCCCCATTTGGCCAGGCAAAGTCTCCCTCCATTCACACTGAGGTGAGAGCTGAGAAGGGGAAGCTGGCCCCAGCTGGTCTCTGAGCAGCCTGGCCTGAGCTTTGAAGCCAGAGGGGGTGGAGTGAAATCAAGGTGTGAAGTAAGGGGTAGAGGAGAGAGAGGCCCAAGGCAGCCATTTGGTGGTAGTGGGGGCACTTGAATGAGGGTGCTACCAGGCTGGGGGAAGGGAGCAGGAGGTTTTAAAGGGAAGATGGCATAGGCCCCGTCTTGGCTTGCTACTCAGCTCAGTACATTGGCTTGGATCCCATGTCCAGATAACTTCCAGGTCCTGGGTATGGTAGAGGGAAGGTGCCCCCTTGAATGAAATGTGGAGCAAAGGATGGAGCGGCCTGATAGGCAGAGCCCCCTGATCCAGGCTGTAGCTCCAGGAATGCAGCTGAGTAGGGTGCTGGGCGCCCAGGGTCTGGAGCCTCAGGGAAGCTGGGGTTCCTGAAGTCAGGAGAGAGGTGTCAGAAGAGAGGCCACTCCTCCTGGAGCACCCAGCCCTTCTGGAGCACCTTACCTGGCTGGTAGGTGACTGGGGGCTCCATGGAAAGCTGCAGGGTGTAGGAGGTAGGCCTCAGCACTGGGACCACCACATGGAGGAGCTGGAGCAGAAGCTGGAGTCTGCTCTGTATCTGAGTCCCGAATGTCCCCACCTAGGGTGGAGTCACAGGGCCCCCCTGGTGTATCTGAGGAGACAGAAGGCACAGGTTGGCTAGGGAAGGCTCAGTGTCTCAAGTTGGCCTCACCATCAGGACGGCACTCACCCCCACTCCCACAGGCCTCTGTGGCCGCCGGCTCTGGGCCCCGAAGTTTCCTCTTCACGCGAGCATCTCGCTCCCTGGGGAATGATGATGGTGATGATGATGATGATAGCACTAATAGTACTTAACTCTCCCAGGCACCCTGTTGGGCAGGTGCTATATTATACCCACTTTACAGATAAGAAACTGAAGGCCAGAGAAGCCACTAAAAGGCAGCAGAGCAGAGGTTTCTCTGACTTGGACTTGGCTCGTCAGTGCTTTCCCCCGTGGGTATTAAGATCCGAGACAGCACCTTCCCGACTGCAAAGGCCAGCCCGTCGGCCTTATGGCAGCCTCTCTGGAGCCTTGCTGCACCTGACTTTGCAGGCAGGAATGCCTCCCTCAGGACGTGCCACTGTCTACATGTGAGCCAGTGAGCCAGTCACTTGTCTTGGGGTAGACCAGAAGCTCTCCCGGGGCCCACACCCAAGTCTCTCATTGGTAAGCAGTCGCTTCCCTGACTTGCTTTTCCTTCTCCTGCTCACTGCATACACTTGTGCCTCGGGGCTTTTGCACTGCTTTGGCAGGCACCCACATGGCTCCTTCCCCTTACTTCAGGTCTTTCTCTAATGTCCTCAGTGTGCCTTTTATCTGCTGCGTCCTCTGGTCCTTCCCATCCTCCCCATGGCTTATTGCTTACTCGAACATCCTAGGTTTCTCTTGGTTTTGTCTGCTGCACTGCCCACTAGAATATCAATTGTGTGAGAGCTGAGAAACCTCAAGTATTTCTTGAATCAAGAGTGGAGAAGTGTTTTTACTACTTACTATCATGTTCCCAGGGCCTGGCACCCAGTAAGCAATTAGTAAACACCCATTGAATGAATGATGCCCACCTCTTAGAGTTTCTGCCATTCTCTCGGAAACCTTTGGCAAAGGGGTTGGCTGCAATCTTCAGCTGTGTGATCTGAGAACACACATCCAGGTCAAGGCCCCAGTAGCCTGGGCAGAGCACTGCCCCTCCCTCAAGCAAGGATACTCACCCTAGGGTTCTGGTAGGCTGTCACAGAGATGAATGTGGTCTCGGGAAATCTGAAGGAGGCCACACCCCCCCAGTGTTGGCTGCAAAGCTGGGTGGCCCTCACCAGGTGGATTCGGGGCTGGTACTTATGCATGGAGTGCAAGATCAGCTGGGAGGGAAGACATGGGGTAATTCTCTGACCTGGGCTCCAGCCTGTCTTCCACCCAGTACCACCCTAAAACCCAACCAAGGAGCCCCAGCCTGGGCCTCACGTGGCCATGGGGGTCCAGCGTGCTGTTGGTGAGCTTAACGCGATGGAAGGATACCGGCTGCCGCATCCAGTGGGCACCAGTGGCAGGAGAGTCAGGGTGAATGTAGACACGGTCTGGTAGGCGGGGCTCAGCCTTGCCACTAGGCTCCCAGTGCTGGCCCTGCCACCTGTATCGAGCCCCATCCACTGGAATCACATCCAAAAGGAACAAGTAGCGGGCCTCCGGGTCCAGGCCAGTGACCGACACTCGGCAAGCAGGGAACATGCGCCTGCACAGGGGAGGGGGAGGAAGGGAGAGGGCTGGAGCTACCCACTAGCACAAGTGAGCCCAGCACCAGCAAAGGAACTAGCAACAGGTACCTTAATTTTGGCACAGTAAGAGCAAGGGAGGTGTAATTGATCCTCAAGTGCAGAATCTAAGAGCTGGAAGACTTACTCCATTTTACAGATGGGGAGATGGGACCAACAGGTTAGGGGCTCTGACAGGCCCCAGCAGGTTCATCTCCCCCCTTGCCCCTTCTCTCTCCATTCTGTTACAACACCTTAGCGTCCTGTCTCAGAGTCCTTGCCCCTTCTGCCCAGACTCCTGACTGCTGTCCCCCTCAAACTCTGCGGAAACACGGGAGACTGCTTTCTTCCTGAAGCCTGAGTTGCTCGCTTGCTCCCACCGTGGTGCAGCGCTGATCCCTGCGGCTGCAAGACTAACTTTCCTCAGAAACAATAGGTGCCAGGTCCTGGATTTATCGAGGGCTCAGGCCTTAGAGACCTTGCCAGAGCTCACACACTGAGCACTTACCTTCTAGGATGAGCTGGGACTTAGCCACATACTGACCCTGATCCTGGACAGATTTTCTGACACTGGTCACTGGCTGCTCTTTGCTCCTTTTCATAGGCTGTTTCTGAGTTAGGCCACATGCCAACCTATAACCCATCCAGACTTCCTTGCCCCAGGCCCAGACTGACCTCTCTGACCCTTCTTCATAGAATGGCTCCCAAACCCAGCTACAGACTCTCTGGACTGATCCTTGAACCTCGTTACAGTGTAACTCCTGTCCATCCAGGGTCACAGATAGTGTCAGGCCACAGTCAGATTCTGCTGAGTTCTACTACCCCTGGAGAAACTCCTAAGCACAGCTCTGACCCCAGGAAGTCTATCTCTTCTAGAAACTGACTTGGCCATCCCTCACCTGCCAGCCTTGGTGATGATCATCTCTGTCCCCACAGCGCTGAACTCCTTCCACAGTTCCTGGTTCTCCAGGCTCAGGCTGACCCCAGGAAGCGAGTGAAGGGCCTCTGGAGGCGGTGGTGCTGTCTCAGGGCCCAGAGAAGTTGGCAGAAGGGGCAAAGGAGGGGGTGCAGACAGAGTATGGGGGGCTGCCTCAATCCCAGAGAGGAAGCAATCCAGTTTAGAGGTATCCAAATCTGGAGATGTGGGAAGAATGAGGATCCAGGGGAAGACCACATATTCCCAGTCTCCTGCCCCCTACCCAGAGCCGATCCAACCGCTCACCAGGGTAGCGGTAGCCCTCTGCCAGGGCAGGTGGGAAGCTAGAGTCTGCCCCAGGCTGGGGGTGTCCCAGACGGTAGCCAGTCCCCAGGGAGGGGTACAACTCTCGTGGATGGTACATGTTGTAGCTTCTGGCCTTGTGTCCCGTTGCTAGAGTCCAGAGTCTAAGAAATGCCCCCTTTATAGCTCACAGCACAGCCCCTTCCAAACCAGAGATCACAGCCCCTCCCCTCCCTGGGGCCCGGGAGGTGGGCTGGAATGGAGACCCCTGGGGCCTCGAAGGGGTCCAAGAGGAGGCCGGATACCTGGGTATCCTCCCCTCTCCCTCACGGCTTCACTAGTCCCGACCCCCTGCCCCCTCATTACATAATTAACTCCTCGGCCTGATTGATCCCTAGGGCTAGGACAGGGACGCAGTTTGGCGCTTCCGGCCAGCTGGTCTCCGTTCCCACGGAGGGGGAAGCCCGGGTGGGGGGCAGGGGTGGGATCTGGATCTGGTTAGACCCTAAAGCCCCAGACTTTCTGGAAGGTGACCCCTCTGTTTGTTCACTTGGAGGTTCGCCTTGCGAAGTGAACTGGAGGACAAGTGCAGCGTTGGTGCCTGAGCAGACATGCCATGCCAGACACTGGGCATCTTCTACAAGAGACCACAGCAGAGGGCTAAAGCCTAGAGTACTACTTAGTTTACAGTTTCAAAAACTTCCAAGTCTCAGAAGTTGAGGGGAGTGCACAACTCCACAGTCTGATAGCTCATGCTAGGCGTGAGGGCTTGCGCCCAGAAACACTTCAACTACATTTCCCAGTAAGCACTGCGCCAGACGCACGCAAAGGCCACAGAGAGCCTATGCTGGGATTGCTGGGAATTGTAGTCCAGGCACGGATATAAAGTGGTGACCTCCCTGAAGCTGCCTCCTAGGCACTAAAGCCAAGACATACACTGGCAAGAGGTCAAAGGTTAGACCATCTTGGCCTACTGTTCCTACCCCATCCCTCCTGCTGAGGCTCAAAAT